GTCTTTTTTTATTTGCCCAGTTTTTCTCATCTGTATGCATAGGAAAAATTAATCAATCACTTTAAAAGAGCAACACTGGGGAGAAGTGGCTATTTGGACAAAGTTTATTTATAGCTAAAGGTGGGCAGCTGTGAGTTAAGGAAGTTTGCATACATTTCTCTCTAATTAAGCACTAGGACAACTCTTTGTGCTAGGATAGTTAAACAATCCAGAGCATGGTATTCCCATCATATTCCTGGCAGGAACCAAAGTTAATAATCTATTGAACACTTACTGTGGTCGGTCACTTTAACATACTCTCTCATTTAATCTTTGCCTCCTGGAAACAGAGCTGCAGCAAGGCACAGGTCCCACAGCTGGTAAGTGGCCAAGACTTGGGTCTGATTTTATATGACTCCATGAAGCAAATATCTTTTTTAAAAATCCCATATTTTAATTAGTTTTTTCTTTCCTTTTTTAATTTTTCTGTAGTGCTGGGGATTGAACCCAGGGCCATGCACATACTAGGCAAGCACTCTGCCATTGAGATATACCCCCGCTCCAAATCTTCTGTTTTTATATTTATAATTTCCTCTTTTTAAGTATGGGAGAAAGGAATTCTTTATCTCTAGCACTAGCATGGCCAGTTGGCATAGTTATGTCACCTACACAATAAAAAATATATGTAAATCATTTTTCATAAGATTATATACCAATACAAGCTTTAAGGAAACTTATGGTGACACAAGTGTGAGGCAGGAGGATGGTTTGAGCTCATGAGTTCATGACTACCCTGGGCCACGAACTTATAGCAAGACCCAGGCCCCAAAAAAGTTTTAGGAAACTAATGTTTGGAGTATTAGATAAAGAAATACATATGTTTGGATATAAAGTTTTTTTTTTTTTCCTTTTCCTGCCTCCTTACCAAGAGTGTAGGGAAAATTCTTAAAAAGGTCTAAAATAAGTCCTCATTCATTTATGAATTGATGCCAGAACTGGAATAATAATAATGGTGTCACCCACCTCCCAAATTAGCATGACTACAAAATGACAGTAAAATGATTGCTGCTGTTATAGTCCTTCAGGTGATAGGTTTGGATCATTAAAGTTTTCCAAAAGGTGTTTTAGAGGGATCCAGTGTAGCTCAGTGGTAGAGCACACACACAAGGCCCTAGATTCGATCTTCAGCACTAAAAATAGATAAATAAATAAAGTGTTTTGATTAAGAAAAATACTCAAGAAACAAAAACCTTGAATTACAATGTTTAACATTTTTTAGTTTGAAGATATAAATTGACTTTTTTTCGATTCTAGAATCAAGCACCACTCCATTCCATAAAATAGAGTCCTTACCCAACCTTTTAAACTTAGCCTTATTACATATTCAACAACCAATTCCCCATGCAAATAATCACAGTAAGAAATAACAATTCTTAAGAGGCACAATTGCTCACAAACACGCCTTTGGCTGCATATGTCCCTTAACCAAGTCAAGGAGAGCAGATCCAGGGCCTGGTGAGGCCCAAGTCACACTTACATAATGTCCTAGCCATTAGGGCTGTGAGAACAGCAAGACTTGTTCTCAAGGGGAGTTACATAATCTCTTCTCACTCCCTGGAGATCTTTAAGGGAGGGGAGGGACAGACCACTACTGTCAAGGGTAATTTGGTTCCTATGCTTCCCAGAGTCGTGAGAACCATGCTATGGCCCCTTCTGCATTGCAGTAAGTGTCTGAGATGGTACAATACATCCAGACTACTTTCAACATTTTTAGAGTTCAATTGCTATCACTATTTGGCCAGAAAAAGGAGGGGCTGTTCCAATCTTCCTTACAATTACAGCCTTAATTATGACATTATACTTTCACAATTTAATCCCTTTACTTGCCTCACTGCCTTTTTGGGACTAAGTAAGAAACACTGTGGGATGCCTGATGATGTAGCTAGCAAGGTAGCCTTACTGAGTGCTGCTCAGCTGCCAGCTACAAGCACAGCCAGGTGGAAAAGTCCAGAGTGCTAATCTGGACAGTGACATCTCTGTCTCCTGCTCAAAATCCTTGAAACTTGCTCTCTCCAATATGGAGAACATCTGAGCGCTATCTATCAATGCCAAAAACCACCCCGTGCTTTCTTCTGCTAAGCTTTTGGTAGCATTTTGGCATCCAAAAGAATAATCACATACAGAACTCCAATTGTTCTATTCCAATTACCACTCAGTAAATAAGTATTGCAGAGCTGTTGATATCTCAGTAGCATGATCTTTTAAAACAACTGTCAGGAATTTTTTTTCACATAGTTGTTCTGTCTCTATAAAATGTACTGAAGACAAAGAGTTTAATTCCCCAACACTCAAAATTTGACATTGCCTCAGGGCAAGAGATAGCTGCAGGAGGAATGTGCCTCAATTCACAACCTTTGGGAACACAGCTTTACTAAGTTGTTGATAAAGTGAAATCCCAGTCAGCACACAGGCTAACTCATAATATATTCTATGAAAATGTTTACAGAGTACATGGAGTGGTTTTCACCTTCAGAATCTCTTGCTTATATCAGTATAATACTTGTTAATTTATCCCAAAATATTTGCTTATCTTACTGTATTTACAGCCAGAGCTGTGTAAAACTTGGATTTCCAAAAGTTACTAACAGTTTAAATTTTATATACTCTGCAACCATAAGGATTATAACATAGTTAAACATTGGCTGGTAAAACCAACCAAAGATTTAAAGAGTCTTTTCATAATCAAGTCTTGCAAAATTTAGTAAATAGGTTGAAGAGGTTTTTCAAATGCCCCAAACTGATACTACACTTTGTATATAGATCACCATTGTTATTTGCTTATTTTATTTACAAGTAATAATTCTGGAGTGCTGAGAATTAAACCCAAGACCTCATAGATGTTAAGCACATATTTAACACTGAGCTACACTCTCAGTTCTTTCAATGATTTTAGATTTCATTTTATCCTTAAGCATTCTGATAAATAGATATCACTGCCTTCAATTTACAGAAGACATTAAAGAAACAAAGATCAAGTGGATGAAAAAATTTTATAAAAAAATTAATGAACTGTGGTAACAATGACCCAGAAAATAGGAAGATATTTAAGGAAATCATCTGTAGTCTACACTAATTTGCCTTCTTCATCTGACACTACAAAAGGCTATGAACTATCCACTCTATTATATAAGTTACATAAGAATTATATATATTTGAAAAACTGTGTACTTCATTACTTTTTTATTTTTCTAGTGCTGGGAATTGAACCCAGGCACACTAAGCATGTGTTGTGTCACTGAGATGCATCCCCAGCCCACAAAACAGTGCACTGTAAGTAAACGCTTTAAATGTTTACTTACACTGGTCAAGGAAGCTGTGTAACAACCAACACAAAAGCAAGGGAGAGGCTGGGGATACAGTTCAGTGGTAGAGCACACAATTAGCAGGAACAAGGCTCTGGGCTTCATCACCACTACCCAACAAAGTAAAACAGAAAAATCTTATTACACAAAGACAGTTACCAAAACCTTCAGCACAATTGGTACAGTTGCATGTGCACATAAAGGGTTCTGAATCATCTTTTGCTAAAATATTTAAAAGGATTAGAGTTTAACAAAGACTACCTGTTTTACACCTTAAAACTCAGAATTATCACACACCACATAAAAATCCAAATAAACTGATTTTAGTTATGTCCAGCAAGAGACATCGCAGGTCAGATGTCAGTGGTAAGCCAGCAACAAGATGAATAGGGCAGTGTTGCTCAGACTTGAGTATTAGAACTAGGTGGAGTGCTTGGTGCAATACACATAGCCAGGATCACCACCTGAGATTCTCACTGAGTTAACCAGAGGTGAGGCCCAGGAATTTTCATTTCTAACAAATTTCCAGGTGATCCTGATACTGCTGCTCTAGCCTTCAAACTTCGATGACACTGGTACACAGATGATGGCACAGTTCAGTGAAGTAGTCAAAAATCCCTACAGGAAGCAGTAAAAACATCCCTCCTTGACCTGGCCATACTTAAGACCAATTAATGAAGAATTTGGAAGCATTAGTCCTGGTATCAGTATTGAAAAAATCTTTTCAGGTAATTTCAATGATCTTATAATCTTGTGAACTATTAATACATGGAAAGAAAGACTTTGTGTCTGATAACTAGTTGTTAAGAAAGTATTATTTTGGAGGGGCTGGATGGGAAGGGCAGTGGTAAACTGTGGGATTATTAACAAGTTCAAGGTCCTGGGTTCACTCACTTATTTATACAAAACCATAAGCAGAATCACTGGTGTGCTGTGGATACTCAATAAATGACTTCTTTCCTTCCTCCATGTTCTTCAAAAGTGTTTCACAAGGGAACAAAAAAGGCAAAACCTAATTTTCTGCCAGAACATATATCTAAAATGAACTGACTTCTATATTTGTGGATTGCTAGTTTAAAAAGTGCTCATACAAATTTCTATCAAAATTTTCTACATTTTGTTTGGGAAATGATAATGTAGATTTATAAAGGTTTGGGTGGGCATCACTTGTTATGTTGGAGGTATACTCAGCAATTAAATGTAGCTGCATTTGTATCATTTGGAGGGTTTTTTATATAAACTCATTCAAAGATGAGGAAAACATATCCAACCACAGGAAAAGAAAGAGGCTGATACATAATTAAATTAGTCAAGTGCAGTGATTTTCAAAGTGTGGTCCTTGGACCAGTAGAATCAACCATTGCCTGAGAATTTGTTGAAACTATCAATTAATTCTTAGGCCTGTATCCCAGATCTAATCAATCAGAGACTCCAGGAATAAGATCCAGTAAACTTCATTTTAATTAGAATTAATGGACAGGGAGTATCTGGGAGAGAGTTTATCTATAAATCCTCTGCTACCAGTTTTTAATCTATTTCTATTTTCTACTCAAGATAGAATTACTACCGCGAAATGATTTATGAGAATAAAAACTGTGAAAGCAAAATACATCATGAGAGGTTGGAAGGGGGTAGGATATTCCCAGGTCCAACACTAACCTTGAATTGTCCTCTTGAAGAATGCCTTGCAGGCTTCACAGGATGCGACCCCATAGTGGCACCCAGAGGCAATGTCACCACACACTAAACACAGTCTCTTGGGCATCAAGTTGAGCATGTATTCACACTTGGTCTGAGGATCCTCAACTGTGGTACTGGGGCAGTCATCATATAGTTTCCTGACAGGCCCACTGCCTCCCAGGATTGGAGCAGAAGGGTAGAGAGGTGGTGAATCAAGTCTGTTCTGATGGCCATTCATGGTTGAACTGTAGCTCCCACTGGCGTCTGAAGAGCCACCAGGTCTGTGGTGGTTGAAGCTGTCTGTCAGGGAGGCTGGGCTGGAGGGTTCCGTCTTGATGAAGGACGAACAGCTGGAATCAATGTGTTGATCTTTGTTTGACATTCTACAGAGAAGCCTGAGATGGAGGGAGATACAGAGAGAAAGAGAGAGTCAAACATGGAGACCAGCAGAAATAGAAAGGAAGAGGTAGAGAAAAGAAAGGAAAGATGAAAGGAGAAAAAAAAAGAGAGAGAAGAATTTGTATGTTAAAGACATTGCTCTTTGAGAGTGCTTCCTAAGGGCTGAGGACTGTACATCATTCATTCTCCAGTCAATAGCTCTTATTCTACAAGAAGGTAATCAGCATAAGGCCATGACAGGGTTACATCAAAAAGCCCAGACAGGCCAGAAACAAAAGCTCTAATGGGTCCAGTTGCTTTTATTTTACCTTTCTCTTGGAGAACTACTGTCAATAGCTAAATCAACTCTTTAGATTCTAAATTTATCAATAGAAGAGGTGGTGATTTGCAAAGTCTATATCATCTCTAAAATTGTATTTATCCTCACTCCACCTTTCCTGCCACATCCTCAGGCTGCACTCCCTTTATTATGAGCAGAATCAAACTTTATTTTCAAGACTGAACAGATGATCCTCAGCTCTGTAATTACTATTTGCCAGCATGCTTCCATAAGCATAACTGTGTCTTTTATTGATCTAACTAAAACACATAGGAAGTATATTCTCAATCACTTTGTTTCCTTATTTAAATTGCTCCATTTCATAGCCACTTAATAATACACAAAGACATCAAGTATAAAATTCAAGCCAATATTTAAGGATTATTTTCTAGAGTCCACAAAACTTGGTGAATGATCCCTAGCACTGATGAATAAATGCATGCATGTGTTTGTGTGTGTTTGTGTGTGTGTGTGTGTGTGTCTTTGTGCCTGTGTTTGGCCAGTATTTAAGAAATGAATCTGGAAAAGTCATCTGAGCCTTTAGTATATCTGTGAGTCCATAAATATCATGGTTCATTCATAGTAGTTATAGAAATGTACCAAACTTTGTCTTGAAAAATGATATTTGTAAGGGTTTCTTCCATCCTCTCTCTCTCTCTCTCTCTCTCTCTCTCTCTCTCTCTGTCTTTTAACATCATACCTCTTGAAAGGAAGCCTGGTGAAGTACCTAATCTTACAAAATACTTCTCTTATCTAGAAGAAATACATCACCTCTTTCTTGGTCCCATCAGTGATTGACTTTCTAAATAGGTAATTACATGCAAAGATATAATTGGTCCTGTTGTCTTTCAGCTTAGCCATAGTGCAAAACCCCTTTTAGCAAACCTCTAAGAACCTCCTGGGAACCCACTATAGAAAGAAGAGGTGACAGTTGAGAAAGGGTGTTAGATAATTGCTTTCCAGTGGAAAGGTGATTTATGGGAATCCCACTGTGTAATGGTCATTCACTAGAATTTGGGGGAGTAGTCACCATAGAACCAAAGGGATGCAATTATCTCTTTCACTATAAATCAAATGACATTTTATTGTTGTGTGAATTTTACACTCTCCTCCAAGTGTTCCTTCCCCCATTGCTCTAGTCCTTTAAAAGGGAGGACAATATGGGATTCCCTACCAGAATGTTCACTTATCTGTTCTGAGTGGGAAGTCTCAAGAACAAGCATGAAGGCAGGAATTTGCCTCTTCACAAACATACTTCAGCTCACTTTGGAAATTGTGCTCTCCTTTTGTTTTCTAAAGTCAGCAATATTAGGATCTGCAGGAAGACCCTGTGAAGGAAAAAGCCACCCACGAGTTCCTTGATGTGCCCACCCACTGGTGTTGTCCTTTACTCAAAAGCTAGCAAGAGAAATAAAAACACCCCCTCAGCAGCCCTAACAGCAACCTCTCCCTTCTGCATTTGCTGCCTTGTACCCATCATTGCTAATGGGTGCTATAATTAATAGATCGATCTTCTGTCTCCCTGCTTGCACTCAGGGCTAAGTGCTTTCCTCAAGTCAACGTTTGAAAGAAAGTGTGTCGGCACTGACTTAAAGCAGCCCTGTGAATTCCTTTTAATTTAGAGCTCTTACACCACCACTTCACTTATTACCTTATTACCGGACTGCTCACACATACATTCTGATCTTAGACTAGAGTTAGAAGTTATTAGGCTCCTAAACTGTGCTTGTTCCCTTTCCTGTCTTTGGCACTGAATTTCCCAAAGCTATGACAATTAACTGTTTCATCATCTGCCCACAAGGCATCACTTCCCACCCCCCAAGAGGAGAATTGCTTTGAGCTGCTTGATCACAAAATACACCCCATTTTCTCCAGGCTTGATACACTCTCCCCACCTTTTCCCTGTGACCTCTGCAAACACTTTCATCCCAATTTTTGTCCCCTTGGGCTTTTTCTCATGGACTTCTAAAATTTGCAGGCTCTTGATTTAAAGAACAAGGCCAAAAATTCCCCTCCCATTTATGAAACATGTATTTGCTTAAGTCACCAAATGCATATGTGTCAAAGTGTGCTTCATGTCCCTGAAAAATGGGAACTCTCCATCCAGCTGTCTCATCCTAAATCTCAGTCCATAACTTTGCAATAACCTGGATGCAAGCAGGAAAATTCAGGACGTGCAGCTGCCAGGGAAGGCCTTGGAACCCTGGCAGCATCTTCTAAACGAGGACTGGCCACTGTAGCAGCGAATGACCGCGAACAAACTGGATTCATTCTGTAGGTTGAATGTAGTTCGTGGTTCTTGTCCAACATGAAGTGCTTCCTTAATTGATACCTTTTGCCCAGGGGAAATACTAATATGGCTGTCATTTATCAAGTGGCGATTATGTACCCAGCCCTGAGCTGAGCATTTTACAAGTATTTATTGTACAGAAAATTATTGTGAGGGAGGGGTCTTTAGGAAATGAAGCCTCAAATGTTCTGAAATTTACTTAAGGTCATACAAACGGGAACTGATAGAGGTGAGATTTAAACTCATGTCTTACTCCAAAGTCCAGATCAGAAATGTCTTCAAGTCAATAGTTTTTAATGGTGTTTACTCATATTAAAATATAAATAGCTGAGCAAGCAGGGATAGAGAGGATACACACAGAAACTACTGCTTTATTTCTCAACAGTTCCATCTACCAATCAGTCTTCAGTAGAAAGGGACCAAGGGGCCACCACACTAGCTGCAGTTCTGCCCTGCTGAGTCACCTCCCTGCAGGTTTGCAGTGACACCTGAACAGCACCTCAGAAAGAACGCAATTGTCTCCTAATTACTACTTACACATTGTACTCAACACTTCTTAGACATCATTACATTATAACCTAAAACTACAGCGAGACTTAATTCTCTCCCTCTCTGTCTCTGAAATTCTACAGCTCTATTATTCAAGCCTGAAATATTCACAACTATCTATAAATTCAATTGTCAGCTGGTGGGTTTTATTCTAGACTTCACTTCAATCTAAAATTAGAGGCACTAAAATTCACATTAACTCTAAGAGGAATGTGGTGAATAAGACTTTATTTCAAAAGAACACCTTTTTGTCAGAAAGAGCCATTTCCAAGATGACGGCTTTATCTGTAGCCAATGAGAATAAGCCCTATTCCACATTGTGCTGTTAATGCAAAAATTTTAGGTCACATTGGATTAATAAAAATCTAAATTTAGTTAAGAATTATGAATAGAAAATAACGTGTTGAAATGTATGGAAAATATTTATTTTAAAGGCTTACTTGCTACAGGTTACTTTTATTTTATTATTTTAAGATAAATGATGAGGACAAGAAGACAAGACAAGCTGCTTCCCAAAAACCTGTGAATGAACAGGACACCCTGAAAATAAACTAAGGGGAAATACATCAAGAACAATATTTAGAAGGCTAGGGGAGCTCAGTGGTAGATAGCTGGCCTCACAAGCATGAATGATACCCAGGGTCTAATCTTCAGCACAGCAAAAAAAAATTTTAATGTTAAGATAACATTAATTTTTATGTACAAAACTGATTTGAGTAATTTAATAGCCTTCCGGAAATTTCAACACTTTCAAAAGCATTCTCAGTACAGTTTATGACACAGTCTCAAACAGTCCTGAGCATCCTGCTTCAACCTACGAACTTACTTTCTACCCTGGCTGAAGGGCTCTGTAAAGGTAACATTTATCTTTGGTGTTTGATACTAAGGATCAGGCAAATCAAACTTCTTAGTAGATGGATTATTTAAATATGTAATTCTTGAAAGTTAATTAACTGTGCATATATGTGTGCACAGAAAGAAAGTGAGAAAAAGAATCCATCAAGTTGCTGGTGTAGGGAAAACAAGAACATTGGTAAGTTAATATTCAATTTATGTTATAATTATCAAGTGAATTGTTTTCAGAGAGTCTACCCACATCCACGTAAATGTGTGAACTTGAATGAATTGCCATGAGTTTCCATATGCATGTGTAAATGTCCTGGGTAGTCTCTATTTCAAAGACTTAAGCTTAGGAGATACTTCTAATTGTTTAAAAACTAATAGAAAGATAATGTTCCATAGGCTTATGTATTTTTAACCCTTTCTCAAAATGTAAGGACTTAGCAAACAACTGCTTCCTTTATTTGTTTATTGTGTTTGTTTGGCCGAGTTGGGGGATCAAACTCAGGGCTTCAGGAATGGCAGGCAAGTGCTTTATCAACTGAGCTACATCCTCAGCCCTGTTTTGATATTTTGAGACAGGGTCTTGCTGGATGGCCCAGGCTGGCCTGGATCTCACTATGTAGCCCAGGCTGACCTCAAACTCTTGATCCTCCTGCTTCAGCTTCCCAAGTGCTGGAATTGCAGGAACACAACTACTCTTTATCAGGCAAACTTGACAGAAATCTTGAACTTATTTCTTATGCATCTGAAAATAATGGCATATAAGCCTGTAATTGCAGGACTAGGGAGGTTGAGGCAGGAGAATTCCAGGTTCAAGGCCAGCCTGGTTACATAGTAAGATCCTATCTCAGGGGAAAAATGTAAAAAAAAATCTCATAAGACATGTATGTACAGGTCACATTGTAACTTTCTGATTGTTTATAGAAATCAAGATTTTCTGAAACTTTTATTATACTTATACCAGTGGCAGACACCTTCATGGGCTAATTAT